CCCGCAGGAGCCCGAGGCCGGTGGGGAGGCCCAGCTTCACAGGAAGCTGACACAGGCTCTTACTCAACTCGGCTTCCTGCCCCACAGTGCCAACGGCGGCCGGAGCCCCAACGGCTCCTCCTGGCCCTCGGCTGACCTCATGACCCCACGCCCCTTATCTCCTCTCTCCCACGATGGACAGAGTCCAGATAATTCCCCCCCGACCACACACTGATCCACTCGACCCTGACGGCCTTGTCAGGGGCCTTCCTGACCCTCACTGGCTGCAACCCTCGTTCACTGGCCCTGAGGGATCTGGCACCCACGTCACTGACCTGTACTGACCCCTCCTGGCCCCTCCCTCTCCTCACTGGCCCTGTTTCCTGACCCTCCTCAGCCCACCAACCCTAATCCCCGTCCCTGACCTCTACTGACCTCTGCCACCCCTCACTGCCCTCCACGGCCCTTTTACTCACTCGTCATCGTTCACTCGGGCACTCTGCACCCCCACTTCTTACCCAGGCCACTGCGAGTCCACACGGTACCCTCGTGTGTGTGAGAAAAAAGGGCCCCTTTCCTGGGCCACTTAGCCCTGAACCAGGGGGTCCAGCTGGACGGGATTTCACGACCTGCACCCCGGTGTGCGGTTCCCCTGCCTGTCACCTGATTGACCGCCACTGTCCCCAGCCTTCTTCCAGATCCTTCTGGGCCCTGCTGACCTCCCGCCCTCAGCACTTCTTTCACTCAGTGACCCCTGCCTTGCAGCCCTGAGCTCCCAATGTCCCTCCCTGACCTCAACTCTCTTTCCAGGTCTCCTACCTACCCCGCATGTGTCTCCCGTACCCCTCCCTGTCCCCGGCCCAGCCCAGCACGGATGAGGAGGAGGGCGAGCGGCAGAGCCCCCCGCTGGAGGTGTCCGACGGGGAGGCCGATGGCCTGGAGCCAGGGCCGGGCCTCCTGCATGGGGAAACAGGTAGGGGGGCCCCACCCCAGGCCCCATTCTGGCCATATCTGCCCCATGCCCACTCCAGCCGAGGCTGACTGATTCAGTAGTCATACCGCAGAGCTGAGTGTGTGAACATTTGCCAATGTGTGTGTTCCTGTGTATCTTGTGGGAGCATCTGTGACCGTCTATATCTACGTGTGTGTGTGTGTGTGTGTGTGTGTGCACGTGTGCATGAGAGCTGAGTGTACGCAGCCGCTCTGTGCCTGGGCGTGGACGGGTGTGTGTGCATCTGCACCCCTCTGTGCTGTGTGAGAGTGGGTGGGAGTGGGAGTGTGTGTGCCAGGCGTAGGGTGGGGGAACTGGTTCCCCTGTGGACCTCCCCGAATCCCATCCTTCCCCACATAGAACTCCCAGGGGCCCCTTTCTGGGTGGTGGGCACGGGTCCCGTGCTGGGACGCTGACCACCCCCCGCCCACAGGCAGCAAGAAGAAGATCCGCCTGTACCAGTTCCTGCTCGACCTGCTCCGCAGTGGGGACATGAAGGACAGCATCTGGTGGGTGGACAAGGACAAGGGCACCTTCCAGTTCTCGTCCAAGCACAAGGAGGCGCTGGCGCACCGCTGGGGCATCCAGAAGGGCAACCGGAAGAAGATGACCTACCAGAAGATGGCCCGCGCCCTGCGCAACTACGGCAAGACGGGCGAGGTCAAGAAGGTCAAGAAGAAGCTGACCTACCAGTTCAGCGGGGAGGTGCT